GAAATTAATTTCTTTTTTTTTTTGTCCAGTTTTTTTTTTTGAGAATTTCCTTTTCGAAGGAGCGTGTTTTTTATTTGTAACGTTATTCGCTGTTTTGAATCAGGCACAAATCTGAGTGACGAATCCTTGCCGGTAAATGTAAGCCCCGCAGATTGAAGAGTTCGTTATAACCAATACGTAACACAATCTTTGCCATGGTTCAGGTTAGTGTAGCAGTGCGTGGAACACGCGAGTCTTGAAAGCGAGAGGAGCAAAGAATTAAAGACTTGATTTATCGATGTCATTCACAGACGATAGTTCTACTGTCGTATCGTCAAGCTTGAAATTAAGGTCACTTTCATACTATTCAACGAGGCACGCGATTTGCGGAAAACTGTCCTAAGTGTACTAACTNGGTCACTTCTATACTATTCAACGAGGCACGCGATTAGCGGAAAACTGTCCTAAGTGTACTAAATATACCTTTTACTAGTTGGCAGTTAAGAACTGTATTCATATCCACGTAGGGAAATTTAATAAGATAAACTAAATGAAACAACTTAACGACTGACAGGTTTCTCATGTGAACGACTGTAAAGTTACACAGGTTGTTAAGAGCTTAGTATAATTCTATTGAACAACAGCTCTATTATTGACTAACACTAATAAAAAAGGTAACTGCATGTAGATGAACTACACAAATCTTATGAAACTAGGCCTTTAATGAAACTGAAAACATTTCCCGTAATAACACCAATATATATATTACTCTCTGGCACCATGGGCGATAAAGATGGCAATTTTCTTCTTGTATCAACGCGGTAAGGCAGGCCCTGACGTTTCCTGACTGAGACGATGAACTGGTAGCAAGAAAACTCAACAGATTTATATTTCCATTATAAGATATGTAATATTCGCGGTTATTTGGCACGTCGAATGAAGATTGCACGGCATAGCTTGGTATTCTATACCTCAAGAAACTAACACGATTAGAAATGTATATAGCGGGTTTACTTAAACGAGCCGCAACAGTTAGAGTGCAGCTCATTGATAGATCAGATTCTGCGTTCGATATATTTAACAAGTGATTTTGCTGCAATATTCACAGGAAGCCTTGATGCAAACCGGCGCGACAGTAGATAAGAATTATTTATTAAGTAGTTATGAGACACTTTGAAAGTCTTTCATAGAATAGTTCTGAGACACTTTGAAGGTCTTGTTTTATCAGCAAAGAGAAGGAGGAAAATCGCGCGAAAAGTGACACTAATTTATCCTTACTCTTGTTCTAACTTTCTATTGTAGGGAAATTGTGAAGCACTCTTTGAAATGTTTTCCCTTAGCTTATTTGCGTAGTTCATAAAGCCTTAAAAATAGTGTAAATGACCGACTTTGAATCAATTAACCGACGCGACTAGTCAAACTCACGACAAAAAGTTTCCTCGTAATTTCCATGTATTCGTATTATCGAATAGGCTGCTCTATGTTTTTTCAGACAGGAAAAATATGTAATATATTCACCGTATAGATATCTAACAAGGGATTCCAACACTTAAAAGGAGTTCTACACAAGGTCTTGCTTTATGACAAAATTATAAAAAAGTAGCACTGACGTTCATCATCTATTCATCCCAAATATTGTGTGTTATTGATGCCTATTTTGACGCAAATTATCGCTTCTTTGATGCCTTTTTGTGACTTACGAACTTGTGCTACACCGACCAATTGTTTTGTGCTGGCTTCGTGTCGTGAGCTAATGGCAACTTTATTGACAACTATTAACTGACATGACAAGTTGTCGATATTACTGCTTCCTTTTTAAGTTTTCCTTTGCACTCAAATCACCCAACAACAGAAGTGAAATCTTTCCGCATACTCTACGATAGTCGGGGATTTTTTAAAAGTTGATGTTGATTGTTTTAATATTTCACATCGCATTAATTATTGCCATCAAAACTGACCTTTATCACTTCACATCGCATTAATTATTAGCATCAAAACTGACCTTTATCACTTCACATCGCATTAATTATTGCCATCAAAACTGACCTTTATCACTTCACATCGCATTAATTATTAGCATCAATCAAGTCATCTTATCAGAATATTTTATAGCAGTGCAACGGTATGCCTTAATTTTTTTATACTTTCAGAACGAAGCATTCAAAAAAATTTAGTTGATTGAGACCAGGAGTCGCTAACAGGCTTTCCGAGACCGAAACTACGGCTATCTAAGTATATATTTTACTGATAGTTGAGAATTTTGATCATCCGAACCTTGATTAGAAAAAAATGTTTCGAAGCTTGACCTCTTCGAATTTCAAGCAGATACCTTGCATATAAATACTGTCGGTCACTTCATGCTAGTTCTGCCTTAGTTGAACATGCTAGCTTTGAGCTAGAACTACTATTAAATGTACAATACGAAACTTAGACCAAACATGAGTAATTTCTGAGGTGCGAATGATATGCTGCAATACCGTAGTTCGCTTTGGTAGAAATTTCAGCCCTGAGTGCCCTAAAAAATATATGAATGTAGATCATTAAGTTTTCTCGCCTGTACTTTTTACGGTGAAGCCAAAAATCCAGTATTGAGTATGAAACCATCAAAGCTTTATTCATGCTTATGTTTGTGTACATAATAGAATTGTTAGTTAACCATTTCCCTAACGGGTAATTAGTCACGCTTTGCTCACACTGCTCTTGTTTACCTGCAAGTTATCCAGACGTTTTAGGGCAGCAAAAATTCATATGATTTTCGATTCCTGTTCTTCCCCAACCCACTAATAAGAATATAATTAATATATGCTAGTTGAAAAGGGATCCGTTAGAACCCATTCACACTTCACTCTCGTTTTCATTTATGAAAGACATTATTTGTGCATCTTTTGAACTACATATATGGATATCAATTTGATAATTGAGGTTCAATATTACGTCCAATCCTTTGCCCCCACTTGTGAAACGCCTCATTGTTATTCAAATAATAATGAATTTTCAGCTGCAGGTAATATCTCTACACGATATGTGTATTCTGGATACGTGGCAGGCTTCAAACACACAAGCTTTGTCAAATATTTGTAATATATAATGTATATATATACATTATATATTATAAATATTTATTATATATAATAGTATAAACAATAAGGTCTCTTGGTCGATGTTGTGGCCTGATAATGTTCATGTTGTTCAACCATGGACTTTGAAGCCTATGCAAGTATCACTGAAGACATTGACTATTATGAAATCATGCAAGTCATTGATCGAGTTTTACACACATTTTGAAGCAGGCTATAATTAAGGGTTTGGATTCATCAAAGCTTTCTTGTGTAGAGTCAATTAATGAACATCTTAAAGGTACCAACTTCTATTTTATCCTTTTATTTTTGCTTTTTTATTTCCTGTTTGTTTCCTTTGTTTTTATTGTTTTTTTTTGTTTTTGTTTTTGTTTCCTTTTCCATTTATTTTTTTTTTCAGGTCACGGGTTTTTCCTTTTTTGTTAAAGGTTTTCTGGTTGCGAGAATTTGGCTAGTTTCAGTTCACGAACAATTGAGGCCTAGTTAGATGCTTTTTACTACCTTGTCAACTTTTCTAGGAATTAGGTTTTGGGGAACCGGAATATATATGGAATGAATCCGTATTGGTACCAACCGGTTTATAAAAACGCGTCATTGAATGCTGAGTACACTCGAGATTAATAATTCAGACCACTTCTTTGTTGGGGGTTATGCTTGCTCCTTCCATTAAAATCTGTATAGATTTTTAAAATTCAAAGTAGAGTGTAACATATTGCCTCAGAAAATGAATCGTTTCAATCATTTCCATGCTCCGCAACATTTTATTTATGCTTCTTATGAAAGTAAGATTTTATATACGCATTTAAGGAGTCCACCATCCCCTATTATTTCCGGCCCATGACAGTACTGCAACCTAATACTTTGATTCTCGATTCTTATAGGCGGTTAGTTGTAGAGATAATGAATCTTCGATATGTAGAAAATGATTCTATGTAATCCGGTAAATAATGTAGGTACTAGAATGAGAAGTAGAAACAATCATTACAAAATTTGAAATTTCTCACAAATCTCTGCGGTTTTTAAGCCAATCATTGATGAGTGATCGTAGAATTTAATTTACTAGAATGCAAATTACAAGTAATTATCGTCTTTACATAGGCGTTGGCATCAGTGATCAGCAACATTTCGGGAGCGGCAGGATCTTCTTTATCATTACTCTTTTATTAATGAAATTGATGAAACATATTCGCCTCGCTTTCTAACCACCGACACAATAATGTGCAATACATACCTCAAATTTTCCATGATTAAAATTATTCCAATGCACTGAATCTTAAAGACCCAAACTTCATTGACTTTATATTACTTGTTCACTGATTCAACTCAAGTAACTTCATGGCTCATATTACTCGTCAGAAAATGTGGCAAATAATTTTTACCGAACGTACTGGGCGTTCGACTCGCATTCAGTTGAATGATTTAGTTATCTTAACTACCCTTCATGGTTCTTCAAATAAGTACGAAGTCTACTTATAATGGTTTTTCAGCAAGTCTAAACTCATGTAGCGAAATGTCTGATATGCAGCCGTACTTGGTACGTAGCCTTTTCCCTCCCACATCAATTTGTATACCGTTATTTTTTCCACAATCTGTACTGGAAAATCACCTGCTTGTTCTCCCTTTCATCACATTTATAATAATTTTAAATCCTAACAATTTTTCCTTTTGAAACAATTCCGTAAAATTCTTAAATGTTGCTTCTCACACTTCTCGTATAATCTGAGGTGAATGAGTAATAAGTAGCACTTGGCGAAACAGAGTTAGGCTGATATCTTGCGAGCATTGACGCGTATTGAGTTGTTGTGCATAAGAATTTTGTTTATTCCTGAGAGAACAGGGCTGCTGCTCGACGAAAGGAGAACCTGCCATGCAGAACAAACTACCTACACTTTAGTGTCGAAACTTATAAATTCTACATATTCCACGACATTTGATTTCTTACAGAGGATAAAACTCAAACTGCTGATGAGAAAAACAATGCTACCGGAAACAAGCCAGAGATCGTCAGAGGTGCTGTTTCATCGGCCACGCCAGGTAGTAAGAACGACTCCAAGCCTTCACCTGCCGCAACACCAAACAAAACTTCTGCCAAGGATGCCCCTGTGGACGACCTGCCTCAGGCGACAGCTCCTTCTAAGTTTGGCGGCTCTCCTGCTGTGCGAAACTTCCCTGCGGCTTCACAACCTCCTCAGGGCAAGGCAGGTGCTGCGAAACAAGATTCTGAAGAAGGACCGGCTAACACTCGGTTCGGTCCAGGCAAGGCTACTGGACCGAGCTCGGTCAACTCTCCCAATCGTTTCGGCGTGAACGTGAACAGTTCCCCTAATAAATCAGGCACCGGGCCAGGAGAGATTAAGCATGAACAGACGCAAGAACGTGGACCCAACAACGTCTCTGAACAAATTCAAGCACGTGGTCCTAACAATGCTCCTGACCAAACACGTGGCGCAAATAATGCCCCTGAAAGGTACACTCCTAATACTTCTGGTCCTGGTGGCAACGCCTCTCAGCACTCTCGACCTTATGAGCCCAAAACTGGGAACCAGGGAGACCAAAGCTTCAACCGCAATGCTGGACCCAACCTTGGACGACCTCCACCAACTAATAGGAACCTCAACGAAGGTAGCAATAATCGCAACCAAGGCAACAATGATCGTAACCAAGGCAATATGGATCGTAACCAAGGCAACATGGATCGCAATCAAGGCAACATGGATCGCAGTCAAGGCAACATGGATCGCAATCAAGGCAAAAATGATCGCAACCAAGGCAGATTCGACCACGGCAGTGATCAACAGGATGGAAGGTTCGGCCAGCCGCAACGTACCAGCCGTTTCAATGCGAACCACAACGTCTCTAATACCAGTGACTCGAACCAACAAGACCGCAATAAGAGCGGTGATGGTGCAGCTAACCGAGTTGGGCAGGGGCCCGGCAGCCATGGTGGTGGTAGCTCTCAGTGGTCTTCAGGGCCTCCTTCGTCAGGTGCTGCTGCGTCCGCCGCTAGCAAAGACGCTGCTTCGCGACGCGCGGCTCCTGATATGAACCGCAGTCGTGGGGGCTTTTCGCAGGTAAGGCAGGCTATCCCCATTTGTTTAATTTTTGTGCTCTTCGCTAACTTGTTTTTACCATTAGGTTTGGATGAATTACTTGCGCCGGAACACGTGCGGTATATCTATAGTTTCTTGACATCTGGATGTTGTCCAACTGCTTAACTGTTTTGTGTATCACTTGCCTTCGAGGTGCAATATATTGTTGTTGGGAATGTTAATTCTCCAGGTAGGAAGCAAGTGGATTGAACTAATTCTTTGCAGGTATAATGATGCTCACTCGAAATTATGAATGTTTTTATTTTATGCATTCTCCCCCCTCATATAGGTATTAATGACTTCATATTATAAAAGTATCTTCTAGTTGAGGAAGGAAATTTTCAGCACATGCCGCTGAATAGATTAACCCGATTGACAAGGAATTGGTTCTGGTATCAAAGAAGGGTTTTCTCGAGCATAACTCTATATGCTTTCGTTCAGTTCGCGTCACTCGTCTGTGACTTCGTCATCTTCTCCGCATTAAGTTTGCTCTAAACGCATCTCGATGCCACCGACAGTCCGGGGACAAAAAATACTGCGTTGTAATAAATGATCAAAAATATCACGGGAAATCGCTTTCTGTTACTATTACTATGCTTCTACGTTTTTAATTTTGTTATTTATTTTACCATGCACCCTAACATGCTGAACTAAGTTGTGATGGTTACGACAAGCCCTTCTACTGTTGTCGGACCCAAGAGGAGACTCGCACATATTTTTATCAGAGATCGTGAGGACTCTTCATAACTGATACTATCTGCCAATACAAGAATATATGCACATTTTATTCCTATACATATTTTAGATTTTATAGAGCTGACACACAAGTAATGGACCGTAAAAAAACTCTGAACAATATTGTAGGATTGAGAATGTTTTGCGCAGGAAAGATTAATCATGGAGCAAAATATTCTAAATTTATTACTGAAAAAATGTTAGTGATGTAAATAATGGGCAGTGTTTTGACTGAGTTTTCATTAATACGTTTCAATTATCTTGCTTGTAGTGGTGCATATTGAATTCGAAATAGTGGGAAAGCAATATGCCGCACCGTTGCCGGAGTAGGTACTTAGTGGTGCATGTCTGGTGTGAGGTGTGGTCTTACGGACTGTTTGTCCTATTTATTCTGTGGTTATGCCTGCCGAATACTGCTGTGTACACGGTATTTAGTATGACGATTGTTTGGAGGTGTATATCTAGGAGAAGTGAGACAGAAAGGTCAGCAAAGAGAGGTCAGCACTGGGAATGAGAAGATGAAATGACACGAGTGGTGAAGGATGAAATAGGTTGCGTGCATAATTGGGTTCTGTGGGGTTTATGTGCTTGGAAGTCTGGTGTGGAACGGTTGAGAAGAAATGTTGCGGATATCTCAAAACTTTCGTGGGATTGTGTAGAGAAGTGAGGGCTTACTTGTTAGGCTTATTATTTACGTATACATGTCCACAACTAACAATAAATATAGTTAATGCGCTTTCATTCAATTGACAAGTTTCACTTACTTGTAACATAACGTATTTTTCAAGATTTCAATGATGAGATTGGGGAATCACTTGAAACAAATAAGTTAGAATTTCAGTTACTGGGCTAGATTAATTAAGTATAGTAATGACCTTTACTTTACGTTACTTGTTCGTTTGGTCAGTTCGTTGGTTGGTCATTCGTCTCGCCTAGACCTGCGGCGCCGAATACTTGGTGCTTTAGAAGTAGGACATTAGTACAAAGGGAAGTTGGAAGCGGGTATTTTTTATTCCCTGAAGTGTTGGTTTTTCGATTTTGGCAACGATTTTTTTTTTGCCTGTTCGCAGTGAAATGGAAGTCTCGATCAGATTGTATGCAATATGTTTTTGGTGTAGGACTGAATTATTTGGCGCATTGATCGTGAAGTATCGGATAGGTAATTAGATTGAACCCGTGTGTGCTTTTGATGAAACTTGAATTTTGCACGAGATTTTTGAAAATGTGCACATAGTTTTACTGGATTGAATGGGTACAGATATTTGGGCTCAATAAGGGAGAATTTGACGAAGGCAAGACGTGAAGGGAACTTAGGCGGAAAGTAGTTTTATGAATTTTAGGTGGAAAGTGGTTTGAATTTTAGGGGGAAAGTGGTTTTATGAATTTTAGGCAGAAAGTGTTTGAATGAATTTTAGGGTGTAAGTGGTTGTATGAATTTTAGGCGGTAGTGGTTTCATGAATTTTAGGCGGAAAGTGGTTGTATGAATTTTAGGCGGTAAGTGATTTCATGAATTTTAGGCAGTAAATGGTTGTATGAATTTTAGGCGGAAAGTGGTTGNAAAATGGTTGTTTTAATTTTAGGCGGAAAGTGGTTGTTTGAATTTTAGGCGTAAAGTGGTTTCATGAATTTTAGGCGGAAAAAGGTTTCATGAATTTTAAGTGGAAAGGTGTTGTATGAACGTTAAGCAGAAAGTTGTTGTTTGAATTTTAGGCGGGAAGTGGTTTCATGAATTTTAAGTGGAAAGTGGTTTCATGAATTTTAAGTGGAAAGTGGTTGTATGAATTTTAGGCTGGAAGTGGTTGTATGAATTTTAGGCGGTAAGTCGTTGTATGAATTTTAGGCAGTAAGTGGTTGTATGAATTTTAGGTGGGAAGTGGTTGTATGAATTTTAGGGTGTAAGTGGTTTCATGAATTTTAGGCAGAAAGTGCTTTCATGAATTTTAAGTGGAAAGGGGTTATATGAATTTTAGGCAGTAAGTGGTTTCATGAATTTTAGGTGGAAAGAGGTTGTGTGAATTTTAGATGGAAAGAGGTTGTGTGAATTTTAGATGGAAAAGAGGTTGTGTGAATTTTAGATGGAAAGAAGTTGTATGAATTTTAGACCTAAAGAGGTTGTGTGAATTTTAGATGGAAAAGAGGTTGTATGAATTTTAGACGAAAAGAGGTTGTATAAATTTTAGACCGAAAGAGGTTGTATGAATTTTGGACGAAAAGAGTTTGTATGAATTTTAAACCGAAAGAGGTTGTATGAATTTTAGGCGNATTTTAGACGGAAAGAGGTTGTATGAATTTTTGATGGAAAGAGGTTGTATGAATTTTAGACGGAGAGAGGTTGTATGAATTTTAGACGGAAAGAGGTTGTATGAATTTTAGGCAGCAAGAGGTTGTATGATTTTAGGTGGTAAGAGGTTGTATGGATTTTAGGCGGAGAGTGGTTGTATGAATTTTAGGTGGTAAGTGGTTTCATGAAAAGTATGAAAATAGGAATTGTTGACTAGTTTGTGACGTTGGTCCTCATTGGCCGTTTGTGTTTGAATGTGTTAATGAAGAATTGTGTGAACGATCATGTGTGGTTGTGTGGGTATACGAATCTATGGGGAAGAATGGAATTAGTTTAAATAAGATGTATATAGGGTGGGAAGAGAGGAGGTGGAATACCAGTGTGGAGTTGGAATTTTGCACCTACGCGACTGCTTATTCTGGTGGACATTGATCTCAATAGCTGATCTTCTGAAAACTACTTATAGATCAGTAGATACTACTTCTACTGAAAACTACTTTTTACTGATATCTACTCTATAACTTATTTCTGAAGGATGAGTTGAGTTGCCTGATTTTGTTTGAATTCGGTATGTGGAAATTTTTGGAATGCTCTTCTCCATTACAGAGGAATGTCTATGTTCTAGTGCGAGTGCTTTATTACTTATGTAAAGTGTGGATCGTGCTGCAGTTGTCGGCTTTTATTGCTGTGAAATTAAGCTGTCTTTTATTGTGCGTGTTGTGAATGGCGAAATTCGTAAAATCTTGTTTAATATCGTGTCAGCCAGGTCCTCGTGCGTTCAATTGCTCATATGAGGTACCGGTAGTTAATCATGTTTTGAAGTTATAATTTAGAGTGTGAGTATTGTGTTGTCAGTTTAACTTGATTTTGGTTTAAACGTTTTGATGTGCTCTGAAGTTCTCTTGTCACTATGGTCGGAAAATGCATTAAATGGACGCAGTCGGCACTTTCTCATTTAATTCAGAAAAAATACCGTGAGTGAAATAAATATACTTACAATTCAACGGTCAAATTATTTCAATACTCTGTATAAAGTTTCTTTTGTTACGCGAGTGTATAAGCTGTAATTAAGTTGTTCGTTTCCGGACCCTGTTTCTGAATGGTTGAACGAGTATAAATGATGAACTGGGAGGGTGAGAAAATCTTAGGGTACGCACACAGTGAAAGCAGGTTGCCCGCGTGCTGGTTACCTGCTCAGGCTGGCGCCTGAAACCTTAGAATACAGAAGCCTATTCGTACAGAAATTTACTGTGAACACTTACATTATTATCCTATGTTCATTCTTGTGGCAGGTTGGAGCAGGTTGCCCGCGCGAGCAAACCTGCTTCCACTGTGTGCGTACCCTTAAACTTGTTGTTGGGATAGGAGTGAGAAGTTCAAGTCTTCACGAGGTCATGTGCTCAGTGAGTGCTGAGGGAGAGTGCAAGGGATTGCTCGTGGCATAACTGAATATGCGTGTAGGAACAACTGCATTCGGTTTGTGTATGTTAAGAGTATCGTCGGATTTTGCACTATATTTTTATTGGAAGAACTGCTCAAATGTTTCGTTGATTTGCTAATACTCACATTATGACAATGCGCTTGGACTATCGATTAGATCTGTGATGCAACTTGGTGTGATTTGTAGGTTGTTTTCTTGTATATTGTATGTTTGTTGTATATCTGCGTTGATGCTCCTGTGTGATTTATGGCCTTATTCTTGCATGTATGTTTATGTTAATGGGCTTAATATAGTGAGCTGTGGAATTTTTCTTGTGTGTCTGTGTTGATGCTCTTTGAAGTAGCCTCTGCTGCAGATATATTTGTGATATTAAGTTGTGTTTTTATAAGCAGGTGAATGTATCACTGTGCCAATGTGATTGGGACGGCATGGACCGATGTTATGCGTGTGATGGCTTGTATTAATTTTAATACATATTTTAATTTCGGGACTCGTTTATGTGTGCTTCTGGTGCAAGAAACTGT